GCCTTAATCTCACTTGGTAACCCTGCAGGCATAAACTTTTTGCAGCCTACTCTTAATAAGGGTTCAGCCTCTCCTCTAGCCCACCACCCAGCAGAGGTGGGGGAAGAGAAAAGTTATCAGGATATCGGGGACATGGACCTGTTCAACAATAGTTCTTTGGGGGCGAGCTCTATCTCCTTTGGCAGCAGTTCAGTCCCGTAGCAAACACTAAATATGATTCAGCAGCTGCAGACCAGTCCCTCTAGGCAGGCAGACTCCGTGCATGAACCGGCAGCTACAGTCCAGTCCTTTCAGCAAGCAGACACCAGGCAGCTGTAGTTCAGTCTTGTCAACCAGCCTGAGGCAAAGCTGCCACAGGCAGCAGAAACCTCACAGCAGTTCTTGGGTGAGTTTCTCTCAATGGCAGCGTTACCACAAGTTGAGCTCAGCTATGCTATGTGAGGTGAATGAATTCACGAGAGAGAGTCTTTAGTGAAGACTAGCAAGGCCGAGTGAAGCAAGTCATCTCAGCGCTCCTCCCCAGCTGTCCGTGGGGTCATGTTTATACTCCTTCATCACACGTCCTCTCACGTGTCTGCCTCAGGAGACCAGTCTTCCACGTGTCTGCTTTAGCAAGACATTCTTTCACCTGTGTGTCCCAGCAAAACATCATTTGACGTAACTAACTTTCCAAAGAAACTAGAAGTTTCCACTTCATAGCCCCACCTTGGACTTGCAGTCTTGTACTCCAGGCCCTGAGTAGCCGGGATACAGCTATGCACCACCAGGCCCAGCTTCATCTTTCAGTAAGCCCTCGGTAGCCAAGCCCTTCCGAGCCAACCTCCTCATCACCGCAGCGTCCGAGAGCATTTTCTTTGAGTATAATCTCATCTTTGACCTTCTCGTCTCAAGCCCTTGTGATCGGAAGGCACATTAACATCTTCGCTCCTGACAAACAGAGCCAGCTGGCCAGTGGTATAAGTTTTTCTCATGTTCCAGTGGTTTGGGATATCAAAACTGTCACTTAAAAATGCTAAATTTGGCTGCTTGTGGTGGCATACTCCTTTAATAAAAGCACTCTGAGAATCCGAGGCGGGCAAATCTCTATGGGTTCAAAGCCAGCCTGGTCTACATGATGAGTTCCAAGCTAGCCAGGGCTGTGCAGTGAGGCCTTTTCTTAAGATGATGATGATGATGACAATAATATTTTGTGTCTTGCTCTGGCTTTTTGTCTGTCTGTCTGTCTGTCTGTCTGCCACACAGGACCCTGCGCTCAGTGCCTGCATATGCTAAGCATCTACCACTGAGCTGCATCCATCCACAGCATGTTTCTTGGTGTCTTCTGTGTTGCCAGCTGAGCCAGTCAGATCCTGTTTGTGCTGTGTCAGGCCCTACGTGGCCAGCTCTACTCTGGATTTCTAGGAATATGTGGGCAACCCTTACAGCCTTTCGTATGAACGTCAAAGAGGCTGCAAAGGAGCTACAGATGCCTTTGACTCAAGAGCTCCCACCCTCCCTCACCCCGGAATGCTTTTCTCCTTTCTCACATTCTGGTCAAATCGAGGTTGCTTCCAGTCTCTCAAGTCGGATCTTTTTCTTACTGACGTGATAAAATACCCAACAAAAACAACTTAGGGAAGTCAGAGCTTGCTGAGGCCCAGTCTGAGGGGACGGTCCATCAGAGTGGGAAAGTTACTGCCTCAGGAGTGAGGGGCAGCTGGCTACGGTGTACGTGGAGTCGAGGGTAGACAGGAGAATGCTGATATTTAGCTCTTTCCTCTTTGCTCAGGGCAGGACCCGGCATTGTGTATGATGCCAGCCTTCCCGTTTCAATTAATCCAACGTAGAAATTCTCCCACAGATACATCTAGAAGTCTGTTTCCATGGTGATTCTAAATCCCATCAAACTGGCAATCAAGAAGAATCCCCACATCTCCTAAAAGTTGTCCTATGCCCTCTTTGTTCCCCAGCTTCCTAAAACCACTTAAACTCTTGACACATTCCTGCTCTCTGGTTCAGGGAATCAAAGCCAGGGCCTTAGGCATGCCAGGCACGAGTCCTCCCCAGTCCTCCCGCTGGGCGTCACCCCCAGCCCCTGGCACATTCTCAGGTAGACACAATGAATCTATAGCTAGTTGGTCCTTGCTAGACTTTTAGCTCCTGAGACAGGAATATGCCTTGCAGGACTCTCCCATGTGTCAGGGTTCCAGCATTGTGACAAAATGACATCACTTAACAGGAAGGCGTGTTCTCGCTCCTGGTCTCAGGCCACCGTCACTTGGCCCTATCATTTGGGCCTATGGCAAGGCAGGGTGTGACGGTGAAGCAGAGTAGTTGAGAGGGAGAGGGAAAGGTTGTAATAAGTCTGTCAGGTCATGCCTCCAGTGACTCATGCCTTCCAACGAGGCCTTCCATTCTAATGTTCATGCTGACTCCCACTAGCCTGTCAGCTTGAGGCCAAGTCTTCCCAAACAGGAGCCTTCAGGGGACATTTCAAGATGGCGGTAGTGGACCTGTATTAATAAGAGATCCATTTCTTTTTTTAAGGTTTATTTATTTATGTATATGAGTACACTGTAGCTGTCTTCAGACACACCAGAAGAGGACATTAGATCCTATTACAGATGGTTGTGAGCCACCATGTGGCTGGGAATTGAACTCAGGACCTCTGGAAGAGCAGTCAGTACTCTTTTTTTTTTTTTTTAAATATTTATTTATTTTATTGATGAGTACACTGTAGCTGGCTTCAGACACACCAGAAGAGGGCATCAGATCTCATTACGGATGGTTGTGAGCCACCATGTGGTTGCTGGGATTTGAACTCAGGACCTCTGGAAGAGCAGTCAGTGCTCTTAACCGCTGAGCCATCTCTCCAGCCCGAGCAGTCAGTACTCTTAACCACAGAACCATCTCTCCAGCCCCAAGAGATCCATTTCAAGACCTCAGCAAATGCTTAAAGCAACAGACATTTCACACTCATGCACACTTTTTATATATTTATTGTAGCAAATTCCCCTGGGGACCTTAAATTCCCACAGTGTCTATAACACAGGGGAAGTCTGGTCTTCAGGATAGGCCTATCAGTAGGGTTTCTGGTATCGAGCATGGACCTCCAAACCCTTTGAATTTGCAGTGACACCTGGTTACAAAGAGGGTCCTCCCATCCAGCATGAGAATGTCTTTTTAATATTTACTTTGTGTGTGTGTGTGTGTGTGTCGCAGGGTGGGGAGTGTTTTTCCCACATGCTTGTGCGCCATGTTTGTGCTTGGTGCCTAAGGAGGCCAGAAGAGGGTGTCACATCCCCTGGAACTAGAGTTAAGAGCCAATATGAGCCAGTATGTGGGTACTGGGAATTGAACCCTGTCTACCTCAAAGATGTTGATCTTCTTCGCAGCCTAATCCACATTTTTCTGGTATTAGGCCACCAGGGCATTGGATATGGACTGCTGGACATCATGAGTCTGAGACACATGACCACTACCCTGGATGTCCACATCAGCAAACCACTCCTTGTCCAGAAGCAGACCAGCTCCAGTAACTTGTATTTCAGTGTGTGGCTCCATCACCACCAGAGGGCGCCTGTTCATCTCACTACAGCTGTTTGCAGGTTGTATTGTACCATGACTGTGCGGTCTTCTGAAGGTTCTCATGCACTGGAGAGGGCACTTGGGTGGCCTAACTCCAACAGCAGACCCCAGCCCCTCACCATATGCAGCTGCCATTGGTAGTTTAAGCTAATTGTCAACATGACTGGGTTTAGAATCACCATGGAGACACACAGGTATACCTATGAGGGTGTTTCCAGAAAGGTCTAAGTCAGGAGGAATATGAGCTGGGCTCCCTGATTGAATAAAAGAGAGAAATACCTTCCTGGGGTCCCTGAGGAAGAAATGGGGTTTGAGATCCAAGAGCAACTTTATCCCACTACCGTGTTCAGCTAGCAGACTGCTTTTGAACAGCTGGACAGTTCTCTGCTTCCTGACTCAATGTGACCAGCAGCCTCATGATGGACTGTCTCCTCACAAACCCTCTATCTGTAACACACATACGGGGGGGGGGAGACACCTTGGAGTTATTGGAGTTACAGACAGTTGTGAGCTGCCATGTGGGTGCTGGGAATTGAACCCTGGTCCTCTGGAAGAGCAGTCAGTGTCTCTCACTGAGGCATCTCTCCAGCCCCACATCTCTCTTACTTTACCAAGCTACAACTCTCACCTTTTCACTTAAAGAAAAGGGAAGCCCTTTAAAACTTGCCCTTTGGTGTTTCCAAGCCTCCTCCTCTTGCCCTTTGGAGCCACTCTAAGTTAAAACAAGGGTCACTAGAACACAAAGACTCACTGCAGTGACCGTCCAGCCCAAGTAGCAGCTCCGCGACTACAGGAGCGGGTGGCAAGTACGGCAGGACACACTAGGCAAACAGATGACTCACACCTGGGGCAGGTGTTGGCCTGAGGTAAGATGAACTCTCCTCAGGAGCCTCAGAACAGAGCAAAATCCAAAACTTGCTATGCTGGGTGTGGTGACCCACGCCTGCAGCCCCAGCCTCAGGAATGTGAGGCAGGAGGATCACTGAATTCGAGCCTCTAGCTGGGCTTCGTAGTGAGACTGCGTCTTCCCTCCTCGAGCTTTGGGTTCAATTCCCAGCCCCAAGTGAACCAGGCACCATGGTGCTTGCCTGTAATCCCAGCACTATGGTTGTGGAGGCTTGAGGATCACAGTGAATTCCAAGCCAGCCTGTGCTACGTAGTGAGACCCTGTCTCAACCCTTCTTGCAAAGCCATGAGTTCAGTCCACAGCACAGAATTAACTAGGTGCGATGGTGCTTGCCTGTACTCCCAACACCGGGGAGGTAGAGGCAAACGGATTAGACATTCAAAGTCATCCTCAGACACAGAGTGAGTCCTAGGCCAGCCTGGGATACATGAGACCCTGTCACCCACCCTCCTCCCCCATACACAACAAAACACCCACCCCTGCTCTCTGAATTATTTTTCTGGATTTTTCTACTCGACATTTGCAGGCTGAAGTTGATTCTAAGTACTATCCCATGGAAGATGCAACCTAAAGCGAGAGGCCCGCTGCGCACCTCATGGAATTTGTAGCCTCACGTTCAATCCCAACTTCGGAGGGAGACTTGGGAGGGTCTGAGAACCCGGAGGGTTCTACAGAAAAGAGTCCACCCCGTTCTGGCATCCATCTGCCGCCAGGCGGCGCTGCTCTGGAGATCCAGGCAGCCACCTGCTGGAGCCCGACCTTCCACCAGGGGGCGCAGGTCTCCAGAGGCCCTCCCGGATCCGCTGGCCCGGGAGTCTTAAAAGAGGTGCCTGGACTCAAGCTTCTCCTCAGTGACTGATGATGTCAAGCTGTACGTTTCTGTGATTGGTTTAGCCGACATGGGCTGGACAGCTATTGGTGATGCTCTGTAGAAACGTGATGGCTCTGGAAGAGCTGGGCACCGGGGTAGCTCCCATTTACTGAGGGTGTTAAAGTATGGAGCATGAGCTGAAGTCAGGAGCAGGACTGCTGAAACTGCTACGGCTTTTGTGGCTGCTGCCCCACTCCTGGGCGGTGCTCGAAGGTAAGACTGCGGCTCCCCTTTGCGTGCGTCGCGAGGAGATGAGCCTTGGACTTAGTGCCGGGCGGGGCTCTGTGGCAGCGGAAAGGGCAACAGACCTTGAGGGAGAGGGCTGCTGTTCACGAATGACAAGCATGTATTTCAAATGCTCCGTCTGTGTGCTAGCCACTTTTCAAATAAAGAAAATGAGACTCTGCTGGCTTAAAAGACCCGAGCACGTTCCGTTTTCCAAGTGGGGAAATGACAGGGGTGGGGTTTGAGCAAAATAAAGAGTTATTGCCTAGCCAGGTGTGGTGGTGCAGAACAGTAATCCCATCCGTCCAAGTGGAGGCAGCATGGTCAAGAGTTCAAGGCCAGCCATGCTACATAGCAAGACCCAGCCTCAAAAGTCCGCGGAGTAATTTACATTTTTCCAGTCGAGATCTTACCCTTAGTCTGTTGTCAGTTCACATTGTCGACATGTCTCTTAGTTTCTTCTCCAGGAAGGTTGGGGCAGGATGTAAGAACAACCTGGAAGGTCCCTCTCACAGTGTGTTTGCTATTCTGGGTGTTCGGTGAAAACTCTGCTGTCTAGGGGGATTCTCGAGAGGAGTTTCAAAGAAGATTGTTATTTCCTGCAGCCAGGGGTTCAGAACTCTCAATCCTGTCAGCGCAAGGTCTGGAGTGTTTAGATCAGGGAAAAAGTTGTCAGAGAGGGCCAGGTGCCACTGAAGTGGCCAAGCAGGTCCAGAGGCTGGTTCACTTTTACACTGTGTTTGGGGTAGCCCGAGGCCACATCATTATGGTTTAGGGAGGCCTTGCCCTCCCTCACACCCCTCAAGGCAGGAGTCACATCCGTGGTTTCTGAATCAGACGAAGGTGGCCACTGTGCTGTGGCCCTGGGCTTGGTGAGAAGTTGAGGCTGACTCAGTGGCTGGCGCCTTTGAGCCATGCACAAACCCGAGCAGCACAAGACTTGGTCTGTTTGCCTTCCTTCTGCACACTTTTGCTTTCTTTTTTGTTTGCTTGATTTTTTTTTGCAACAGGGACTTGTGTGTCCCCGTCTGGCTGTATGTAGCTGGGGGTTGGGGGGGGGAGGCTCTTACACTTCAGATCCCCTGCCCACAATTCCAAGGACATCACAGATGTGAGTCACCATGCCTGACTCTATACTTCCCAGGTGTACACAGTTGCTTTTTTTATGTGTAAGGAAGTTTGGAAAGATTCCTTGATTTTTTTTCTCCCCTCTCTCCCATTGGGAGGAGGAGCCTAAGCAACAAGTGTAGGATGGGCTAGGTTATATCTCTGCTGCACCCCCAAAATAGAGACCTCACTGTTTTCTACCTTAAGGAGAAAGTGTTTATGTGTGTGTATCTGTGTGTGTATCTGTGTGGGAGCGTATGTGTGTATGTGTATATATATGTGTGTGTATGTGTGTGTGTATGTGTGTGTGTATCTGTGTATGTGTGTATGTGCATGCATGTGTGTGTGTGTCCAAGCCATGAATTCACTGTCTCTTTGCAGCTTCCACCCCGGTGCTGTGGGATGGCCCGCAGAACCACACATTCCGGCACACTCTGTTCTGCCAGGATGGGATCCCCAACATGGGGCTCTCTGAGACCTACGACGAGGACGAACTCTTCTCCTTCGACTTCTCCCAGAACACCAGAGTGCCCCGGCTGCCTGACTTTGCTGAGTGGGCTCAGGGACAGGGAGACGCCTCTGCCATTGCATTTGACAAAGGCTTTTGCGAGCTATTGATGCAGAAAGTGAGCCCGATGCTTGAAGGTCAAATCCCAGTGTCCAGAGGTCAGGGACGAGGAGTGGCGTTGTGGGTGGGGTGGGGCTGCCTTCTTACTCCCTCAAACTTTCAACACTTCTCCCGTCAGCTACAATCTGTACCGTGTTTCGTGGTGGGGAGGAGGCATTGAAATCTATTGACTTGATGACCCGACTGAATGTCTGCATATTCATTACCATGCCCCACAAGACAGAGGGATGAGCTTGTGTTTTAACAAGAAGCCAGTGTCAGATGCCAACCTGGCTACAGACAGGAAGTCAGGGCAGAGGGGCCCGCCCACACAGTGTCCTAGCTGCCGGTTTTGCTGGGAAGACCCTTCTTGCAACTCCAGATGTCCTCATCCCTGTGTTGGTCATGTCTGCCCTCCCTTACACGTGTCTCAACTCTCCAAACAGTGGCACTGTCTAAACTTGCCCCTTCTTCTCCTGGCTCACCCCCACCCCCACACCCCAGGTTTGCCTGCGGCTGAAGTGTTCACGCTGAAGCCCCTGGAGTTTGGCAAGCCCAACACGCTGGTCTGTTTCATCAGCAACCTCTTTCCACCGACCCTGACCGTGACCTGGCAGCTTCACTCCGTCCCTGTGGAGGGAGCCAGCCCCACGTTCATCTCAGCTGTCGATGGGCTCAGCTTCCAGGCTTTCTCTTATTTAAACTTCACACCGGACGCCTTTGACCTTTACTCCTGCACGGTGACGCATGAGATTGACCGCTACACGGCAATTGCCTATTGGGGTGAGGCTCTTTTCTGTGGAAGCCAGGTCCTTCGAGGGGCGAATAGGCCAGGCCCGTGGGAGGGGCAGGCCCGTGGGAGGGCAGGCCCGTGGGAGGGGCAGGCCCGTGGGAGGGGCCTTCTCATTTTCCTTGGGTTCCTTGAATCTAGTATCCACTCTAGCCAACTTCGGGCCTCCGTGGTCCAATTCTCCCTTATCCTGGAGTTCCAAGTTCCTCGGGTGGAGTGCTCCCCAGCTGGGCCTCCAGGATGACCCTCACCCTTTCTGCTCTAGTACCCCAGAACGCCCTGCCTTCAGATCTCCTAGAGAATGCCCTGTGTGGTGTGGCCTTCGGCCTCGGTGTTCTGGGCATCGTCATGGGCATTGTCTTCTTCATCTGCTCCCAGAGACGTTCCTCAGATGGTAGGTCACTCGGGAAGGTATGGAAACCAGTGATAAGAGTGCCAGTGTGCGTGTGTGCCAGGATTCTCCTGTTGGTCTGGGGTCCCGTATGCAGTATGGAGGGCTGTATCCTGCTATCTGGGGACCCTGTTACACACATAGTTATTGGGAAGCACAGAAACACCTTGGAGCAGGGGATAAGGTGACCTGGGGACCTGTGGGAAACGTGCTTGGTGATGACCTGAGGAGGAGAGCCAGCACTCAGTTGGGAGTGCTGAGGGGGCACTTCAGGAAGGGAGAGGGTCCTTCTGGTGACTTTCCTTCGCTCTGCTCTCTCTTCAGGCTGATTCTTCCCAAGGAGAGCTTGGAACAGCACAGGCCAGGCCAGCAGGGATGGCCAAGCATCTCGTGCTTACCCAAGGTCTCTCATCGGAGCCGAAGTCCCAGGGATCCTTTGGGGTGTGTGCCAGCGTGCAGGTGTCTCAGCTGAGGGTTCCGCTGTCCCTGGACTTGCATCCAGAAAAGCCCGCATCAGGAGCCCCGGGCTCCACCAGACCACTACCTTGTGCCTTCCAGGAAATAAACTTTATTTCTTAACACCTGTGTGATCTCTCTCTCCACATGTTAGACAAGCATCTACCGCTGAGCCGCGCCTCAGACCACTGTATCTTCTTTTTAACTCCTGGAATTTGCTTCTGGATCGCTGACCTGAGTGGCTTGTCCCTTCAGGTTCAGCGTGCCTTAACCTGGACACAGCTCATTAGGGAGGGAAATGGGGAAACCCTCTCTTCAGCCAATCTCAGGTTCCCTGATCTCAGCGTAGCTGACTGTGCTTTTTATCCCATCCAGCACCTTGCTCAAAATACATGAAAGAGGAAGGCAGAGTTTCCAGTAATCTACTCACAAAGCAGTTGAGGAAATTGTATGTGTTTTTTGGTTCCCCCGTGCTTTGTTGCCAGTGAACCCGTTTATGATTTCTGCCTTGAGGAGTATCTAGCTCCCTCCACCCCTCGGGGTACCTGGGAAAACAGGAGCTCAGGGGCGGTATGCTCCGCCTCCAGCCTCTAGCCGCTCTTCTGATTGGTCAGATCAGTTCTACACAAACAAACTCTCTGAGCCCCTGAAATGAAGTGGGAACAGCCAGGGAGGGTGGGTGAAGAAGCGCGGGTTCTTTCACCTACCTGTTCAACGGCCTCTTTCCTAGGGCGACTGTGGATCTGTTCCGGGCAGGTGGTGGGAGCCAGTGCGACTGTGTGGCTCTATCCCGGGCAGGTGGTGGGAGCCAGTGGCACATGACTGCTGCTGGCAAACTGTTTCACACACATTTTATTCCTTGCTTTCTGTGGATCATGGGAGCTGTTGCGGAGGCGGTTGAGGCTAATTCATAGAATTAGTTTGGTATTGGCAAAACCATCTCCGTTTTTCATATCGTATCATAGTCTAAGGGACACATATCATCCAGTTCTTCCCAGGCGCTGGCTCTTCCCCTGGACCACGTCATTTCTAAGAGCAGAGTGTGTACTGGATAAAGACCTCGGGGATGCATGACTGTCAGTTCCTCTGTGTGCTCTTGGATGAGGGACTTACTGTCTCTGTGCCTTCGTGTCAGTTTTCAGTCAAGGATGGTAACAGCTGGGTCTCCCTTGTAGAGTTGTTATAAACCTAACGATTATTTACTTACTCTCGTGATGTTTTTTGCATGTGTATGGGTGCACAGCCTTGTAGGAGGTAGACACCAGGAATCCTCCATCCTCCGTTTATCTCCCATCTCATTCACTGAGACGGAGTGTCTCACTCAAACCCAGAGCTTACCGACCTGGCTAGTCTTGCTAGCCAGGCTGCCTGGAGCATTGCCCCCTCTCTGACTTAGGAGGCTGGGATTACTAGTGCCTGTCATGTCTTCCTGGCCTTTCTGTGGATTCTGTATATCAAACTCTGTTCCTTATGCTTGTGTGGCAAGAGCTTTAATAGTCCAGCGATCTGCCCAGACCCTCATGCATGCTGGGTAAGTGTTCCACCATTAATCAGCACCTCAGTCCTTCTGTGATTTTTTTTGTTTGTTTTTTGTTTTTTTGAGACAGGGTTTCTCTGTGTAGCCCTGGCTGTCCTGGAACTCACTCTGTAGACCAGGCTGGCCTCGAACTCAGAAATCCGCCTGCCTCTGCCTCCCAAGTGCTGGGATTAAAGGTGTGGGCCACTACCACCCGGCTCCTTCTGTGATTTTAACCTGGGGACTGTTGATAGCAGTTTCACATGGAGAAGGGCAGGATAACAGTGTTGTCATCAACTGTCTGCAGAGCCACAGAACTTAGTGACGTCAGGAACTTTCTGCTGCCTTCAATTTTTTTTAAAACTTGTATGAGTGGGGGGTATTTTGCCTGTCTATATATGTGTGTACCACATACATGCCTGGAGCCTTCAGAAGCAAGGGAAAGGCATCAGATCTTCTGGTTCTGGAATCACACAAGGTTGTAAGCAGCCACGGGCATGCTGGGAATCAAACCCAGGTCCTCTGGAAGAGCACACAGTGCTCTGAACCGCTGAGCCCCCTGTTACGCCTTTGACTCTATCTCCAGTGTTTGGTTTTCCCCCTTAGAGATGCTTTTGTTTTCATTATAATGAATTTCATTCTCTCTTTCATTTTACCTTGGTGTATTTGGTCTATACCACTTCCTACATTTTCCTAGTTCCTATTCTACTTCAAACGTACCCAGTGATTTCCTTCCAATCAAAACGGAAAACTGACAAGGTTTCACTGTATGGCTCTGCCCAGCCTGGAACTTACCATGTAGACCAGGCTGATCTCAAACATACAAGAAATGTACTACCTCTGTCCCACAAGTGCTGGGACTAAAGATGTGGCACTTTTCTAGATGTTTACCTGCTGTTCTTAGCTCTAGCAAAGTCCACTCTCTGGGCCTTAGAAGATAGGCTTAGATTAGATGCTCACCCATCAAGTGATATGTGTGTCATACCGTCCCCAGCTGGCCTCTAGCTTGCTGTGTAGCTGAGATGATCCCTCCTCCCCACTTCCACCCCTCCCAGATGCTGGGATTACAGGCAGGCACTATCCTGCTTGCTCTATCATCAGCCATTCTTACGTCCAAGTAAGAGCCAGGCCGACTCTGCTTAGCTTCGAGACTGGATAAGGTTGAGTGTATTAGGGTGGAGGGTTCTAGGACTCCTTACCTAGAAGCACCAAAAGCTGTCTTTAGCCTGGTGTTCTCTTTCCTTTTTCTTTGAGTTAAAGTCTCATGTAGCCCAGGCTGGCCTTGAGCTCCCGATTTAGCTAAGGATAAGTTTGTATTCCTGGTCTTCCTGCCCCTTACACCCAAGTGCTGGGATTGCCTGGATGTGGTTGGTACCTTTTAGAGCACAGATGGTAGCCCACAGTAAGCCCATTCCTGGGCAGCCCTCATTCCTCATTCTTCCCTGATGGAGCCATGCCTGTCTGCTCTGCGGCTCGTTCCTATGTCAATCAACTGCAGGACCATCCCACACTCCGCTCTTGCTGTCATCCCCCAGCCCCGGGTCTATCTTTCTTAGAATTTTCAAAAAACAAACTTCCTAAGGGACACTTTCTTGTTTCCTGATAATAATTTTTTTTTGAACAACAAGCTTGCAATTTCTTCTTCAGAGGTCAGAGAGCAGCTATTAGAGCTGCCTTTGTCCCCACTAACACCAGAGTCGCTGGTGACGAGGTGGGTGCTGGCAGGATCTCGTGGCGCTGGCTTTTTGTGTCTTGCTCGTGAGACTGAACGCCTTTCCACAGGCTTCTTTCTCTGTTACTGAGTCAGACATTTCTGTCAGTTTGTCATCTTGAGACAGAATCTCATGTAACTGAGATGACCTTGATCCCTCATCTCTGGCCCCCACCTCCCAAGCTCTGGGCCTTCGGGATTCCACCACACTGTTCTGTCATTTTAAAAACTGTATATTCAGCTTTTTCTTATGATTTCTGGGAACATGATACTCTGTGAAATAACTTAGGATAATAGGATAGATGCTGAAAATACCTTCTGCTGTGCATTGTCGTACACAAGTGTAATCCCAGCATCTGGGAGGCTGAGGCAGGAGCATCACCAAAGGTCAAGGCTATCCTAGGCTACATAGTGAGGCTGTGTCTCAAAAAAAAAAAAAAAGGCCTTTCAAAGGCCTTCCAGTTGGCCAGTCTCCAGTGACATCTACATACAATTGATTCCATGGATAGAATTATTTAGTTTTGGTTGTGAGAGCCACTGTGGGCAAGTGATTGGCTAGTCCAGCATTTTTTTTTTCTGTCACAAAATGGGGCCTTGAATTAAAACCATCTGTCCAGAAGAGGAAGCTGGGAGCTTACATGGAATGAATTTAGGAAATGCCTAGAAGAAACGCATATGGTTAAGGTCACACTCCCACAGAAAACACAGGGCCACATCTGCGACTTCCTGTAATGCCAACTCAACGACAGTATCAATATTGACACCCGTTTCTGTTTCCAATGACCCCCCTCCCCTTGTGGAACTCCAACAAACCCTCCCAGTACTGCCAGACTCGGGAGCTAAGGGGAGCCAGAACTAGATGATAGTGCCTTCCTCTCTCATGTGAATGCAGCCTGCTAGGCAAGGTCTGCCTCTATGCCCCCTCCACGGAGGATGCCCTGCCCACCATGCCTGTGGTGAGCGCTCTTCCCTCCCTCCAAGTAGCCCTGATGTCAAGTTTTCTTCCACTTCCTACCTGGCCTCAGATAGGATCATGTAGGGACAGAGATCCCATCTTTCTCAGCTGTGGCAAATGATTCCCCACAATGCTCGCACAAACCCTCAGTGTTAGCCCACTGCAGGCGTCTGGGAGCCGGGCCGGGTGGAGAGGCAGGAAAGATGAGGACCCAGCGTGTGGGTCTTCATGTAGTGGCCTTCAAAGAATGTCCCATGGGACCCTGGCTGGGGATCCTATTGCTAGTAAAACAGTAAACAAACGCGGTCAGTGTGTGTGTGTGTGTGTGTGTGTGTGTGTATGTGTGTGTGTGTGGTGTGTAGAAGGAACCGCTTTGCTGAGCACAGGTCTCTGGGGTTTCCGTTCTGACTCTAAAACCCTCCGTCCATGTTCACATGAATATGGAAGTGAAATCTTCTCCTACGGCTTCCTGTGGTGTCTCAAGAGGTTTCACATCTCCTTTGACTGCTGGAGCAGAAAGCTAGACTCAGGAGGGGACTCCACTCAGTCTTACTGCTGTGGCCACGCCCACGATGGGGAGAGTGCAGCACGGGGGGCTCAGCAGGCCTTTTCTCATAAGGCCTTCTCTGGGCTGCGGGTGGTAGACTCAGAGTAGGGGGATCAAGACCAGATTCCTGCAAGGGCAGGAAGGCACACGGGTGGAGTGGGGCGGGGTGGGGGTGAGGTGGGGTGGGGTGGGATCGGGGAGGAAAGGGGCTGGTGGCTGGGAGTCACTTAACCGCAAGTAGAAGAAGAGACTGTGACTCCTAGAGCAGACGGAACTCTGCAAATGAGCGAGTGTGTGAGTGGGAAGGTGGGGTGGTGGTGGAGTGGGTTGGGGGGCAGAGGAGGGTGGAGTAAGCGTTTGGAGTGGGGTGACTGTAGCTCCTCTCTTCCCCTTTTT